TTTTTTTTTTTTTTTTTTTGCTCTAATGTAAAAGAACCACCAAGTCCCACGTGGCAGCTAAAACATTTCACTAAACTTAATCAAAAATATCCCGGTTACATTACAACGGCTGAGCAGTGGTGCAGTGAAATGTTTGACAGAAATAATTTTCTATTCAGTTATAAAAAATGTTTACCAATCAAATATTAAAATATCATATTATATTATAGCATTTTAGCGTATAGCCCTCATAGATATTATAGCAATCAAAATGTGACATTTTCTTAATTCAATGTTAGTTTTTTTGTGCTTTTTTTTTTTTTTCAGAGTTACTTTTGCATCACTCATTTTTTTCACTACTACTTTAACTTTTAAACAATTGTATGTCAGAGTAAAAATAACCAAATTTTTAATTTAGACTTGTTTGAGTAAATGCAAAAAGATTTTGAATCAAAAAAGTAAGTAAATTAGTGTTTTTACAACAAAGTATAAAGTGTCATTTAGAATGTGCGAAAGAAACATTGTCAAATTGGAATATATCTGAAAAAATCTAGAAGAGAAAAGGAAGAAAAACTAGTAGCAAAAGAAAAACCCGGTAATCTTAAACAGTACTAAGTATAATAACTTTTAATTAAAAACCTTAATAGCAAAAGAACAGTTCTGAACTTGATTTGAAGAATATCTAAGTTTCTTACTTAGGTGCATAACAAATATTAGGGCCTTAATCATTCATTAAGAAAACATAGCTCTTATACAATCTCACCGAAGAACAGATTTACTGGTAATTTGTATCCTCAAATCAATTCTTCATTATGTAAATAAAATTCTTGCTTAATTTAAGAGAAACACTACAGTATTTATTGATATTCAATCATTTTTTTAATTCTCTTTAAATGGAATATCTTTACAAGAATGTTCTTTGTTTTAAAACTTCAGATTGAGTTAACAAGCGAAGGTCTGCAACTGAAATAACGCAGCAGCCAGATGCTTTGTTTTTTATAACTTTCAAACTTCCGAAATCATTTTTTAGAAACATAGTAGACGCATAGTTTTGATGTTCGCTGCATTTTGAAAGAAAGTTTTTAATTGACGTAAACTGGCCAGACGAAGCACCAAAGTACGTTACGATAGCAAAAAATGGCGGTGAAAAACCTATTTTTGATACTGTAGACACCACTGTCATTATTAACTTAGTCTTCATTATTTAAAAAGCTGATGAAACTCATAAAGTTTGACGTCATAACAAGCTTTATCTGTTTTTAACTGATGTTAGAAATATGTCTTTTGTGTTCTTTTTTTCTGCTTTTACCGCTGAGTTCACTATAATATCATGCTGTCGTTTAAATCTAAAACTGAAAGCAGACAGACAGTTGTAAGTAACTGTAAAATGCTCTCTAGCAACTGATTTTGATCTTGATCTACTTCGAAATATAACGTTAACTTAAATTATAATGCTTTAACTTTGCTTACTAGAAAACAAAAGCATTCTGCTTTTCAGCTTGCTAATCTATGCTCACTCTCAACATTGAATAGAAGAAAAACTATTTTTCAGTTTTATAATCTTGGCTAAAGTTGAAAATAAAAATTACTGGTGTAAAAAATTCCTTCTAAGCGAAGAAAGCGATCAAATATCAAACTTGCGCCAACAGAAAAATGAGGAAGCGGGCATTACAATACTTCAAAAGAAATGTTTTCTGGTAAACTGCTGACACGGTCAAATTTCCTCTAATTTCAAAGCTTAATAAGAAGAGAACTGAGTTTGATAATGATAGGTTATTTCAAAAGTAATGCACTCTATACCACAACTGAAAAAAGTTTAACCATAAGAAAAAATTTTATTCAAATAAACGCTAGTTCTGTATGTGGATTTGAGGCCAGTTTCGTTTGAAAACAAATTGTCCAAGCAAATATCCACTGACAAATCAAAGCGTATAAAAAACTGTAAATATCAGATAATTTTAATTTTTCTCAGACTAGAGCTACAAAGCATTTTCAACTTTGTTGCGACACTAGTTCGGTTACCCACTTTAAGATTATGGCTTGTTGTACTGGTTTGAAGAGATTTGTATCTAATGTTGTTTGAAGTTCCCAAAAAAAGACCTTATTATATACTACAAAACAGGCTAATGATATGCGAAGAAGAATAGTTATTAGTTAGATAAGAATGGGCCAACAAAACAACTTCAATTTCATTCAATTCCAACAAATTTGTTTGTGCTACAGCTGAAATGCTCGGTATAAACCAAAATTCTGCAGCTTTATTAATTTTTTGCCAAATACCACTGCTAATACAATTTTTTTATTTGTTTTTTATTTTATTTCAATACAACTTAAAGATCAAAGCAAAAAAAATTTGCTACAATTTTCAAGCCGATTGATATATTACGGCAATGAATTATTCTCAGCATCTCTATTAAACTGGTAATGGAATATTTTTTAGGTCTGCATATTTAAAAGTAAAAAGTGAAAAACTGAAAAGTTTTCTGCACGTTTCTTGTTCGTAATCGTTTTTAAGACAGAAAAAAACTGTTTTAATTGCAGCAGAAAAGAAGTCTAAAAATTATCTTTTATTATTACTTTCAAAAAGATTGTCACATATTTTTAGACAAGGAAGCTTCTATTTCGCCGCTATTTCATGCAGGGTTTTATTTTCAGCAACTCATTTACCACCTAATTCACCTATAACGCACCTTGAATTCTATTTGTATTAAAGTTTTTTCAAAGATTTATATGCTTATTCTCGGCTAAAGTTTACATACTTTTTTTTACTATTCTTCTGCAGAGCATATCAAAATAACCGTACTATTTAAAACCAGAAATGTTTTTTTTTTTAGATTTTTATTCTGATTTTAAACTTTGTTAAAGCTATTTTGAAACTATTTTGCTTGAAAATGAAGCATGCGACTAGATCAATGTGAAATTTGCTAGTCTATAATCTCGATTCTTGCAGAAGCTTTATAATTTTCATCTAGGAAGGAGAATGCAGACTGTTATTTTTTATTTCTTAGATTTTAATTTTAATATCAATTGAAATTTCATAAAAATTTCTTGTATTTACATTTCAAAGTAATGATACTCTAAAACACAAGTAATGTCGCTCTCATTTGATGGCTATTATTCAAGTAGTTTGAGTGACACTAAGTCGGAGTGCTATCTGAAGTGATGTTTTATCAAATATTTCAAACTGAACACTTCAGAAACACATTATTCTAATATGGTACATCCTATGTTATGATCTGTAGACGTTAAACTAACGACTACAGTGTTTACAAAATTTTGACACAAGTAGGTTACTCGAGAAACAGTTGGCTTTTTCATCTGGAAGCCTGTCTAGACTTGTTTCGACGAGTTAATGATAAAGATAGTACAGACTTCTACTGCTGATTACTCCTTCAGTTGTGCCATTGTTGCTACAGCATTTTTGACAACTAATTACTGTAAAATTTCTCAGAATTTGTAGATCACGAAAAGCGTATAGTGTATAGTAGTTCCTTATAGTCAGACCACTTTTCACTCTGCAGTCCTTTGATCTGTACGATTTTATCACAGTCTGTTTTAAAAATTGTATTTATTCATGAAACCGACATAATAACTTTTCACTTTCTTCTCTTATAAAAAGGTTACCGGCAATGGTGAAAACCATGAATAATTACAAATGTATTCAAATAGTTTAAAGTTAATTGTCAACATTTAATGTGACAAACAACGAATCACAAAAATTTGGTTGTTGCAGGATGAATTAATAGTAATAGCGATAAGTAATAAAAACTGTAGAACAAGTGACAGTATTTTTAATTAACAATAACTTTGAAGCAAAAAAGGCAAAGAGTTATAAGCACCAATACGTTTGTGAAATAAATATTTCATAGCTAACAGTTTAACTCGTTCGAAAGAACTAAACGTTTCTTATGCACTGTCAAAAGTGGTGGAGCATTATTTATCACATTTGAGGTTTATTAGGGTCGAGTGACCCACCTATGCATCGCTACCTTACAAAAATGGTAAAGGAATGTTACATCATCGCGCTTTTCGATTTAAGCTAGTTTTTTCCTTTTAACAGCGCCATAATTCGAAATAGTCTGAGCAGCTGCCGTTTTCTTTAAAAAATCTCGAGTGACGCAGTTGAAGCATGTAAAGTCGCTAAATTCCCGACTATTGCAACAGTCACGTGACTTTAGGGCTGTCCAACAGTCAAAATTTATAAAAGATCAGGAAAAATACGAAGAGGAATCCTGTTGCTCTGAAGGCGCACAAATGCTGTGCTAAATAAAGCTAGGCCTAGTTCTATTACAGAGACGGAATTGCTTTAGACTCTTCTAAAGTCACCTTTAAATATCCGAGTAAGAACGCGTTTAAACTGCTGGTTGGCCATTGCATAGCAAAACGGATTAATTGGGCTGTTCATATAGCACAAGTAATAACTTATTGTATACATTATGTTAAAAGTATCAAATTTTGTACATGACTCACAAAAACCAATTACTGTTGCGAGCACGTAAAATGGTGTCCATAAAACTGTAAACGTTCCCAGGATAAACGTGATTGTTCTTAAAGCCTGCAATGACAGATTATATAGTAGCAAAAAACCCAAATAAATACCGTCCTGTGACTATGCTAAAGGTGACAACTTTCTACAACCTAACCTTTTTAGCTCGGTTTTCAGACCGAGATTTTGCCTTCCTAGATCGATTTCGTTGCCTGCGGCTTCCATTACGTAACAAACTTGAAAAAGCAAATAACCGGCGAATACTTGATCCCTCTCGTTCCTTACCAACCACTTTTGATACTGTTAATAGGGGTATCCGTACCTCTTCTGCATTTGGTGGCTCGTCTTTCATTGGCTCCGTCGTCTGTTAATTAAAAAGCAGACAAATTAAGGCTTTTTCAACTTAACAGCTTTCTAAATTTTAAATGCTGTAAACAGAAATGTTTTGAAAATGTTTTGGTCAAAAGATCTTTGCTTTTTGCATATTGTACTCTAAAGAAAGTCTCTAATCACCTCAGTTTTTGAATTTTCTGCTATATCGTCTGGGCCTAACAGCGAGGTCAAACTATCGGAGTCAATGTAAGGAATTCGCTGATTAATTTGAGCAAACAGTGATAGTACAACATCAGGATCAGAGTCTTCCGGAGATACACAAGGAGCTGTGCTTTCACGTTCCAGCGCACTGCTAATCTCTTGCCTGAATTTTATTTCTATATTGCAACATGAATTTTAACTGGTAACTTCTGTTTTATTGATATTTCATATTTTATCGTTCGGTTTTAGGAGTTACTGCAACAAAGTAATTACCTAATGCTAGTAGCTGTGTTCATGACAGCTGGTGCATTGTTCTCCTCAACTGATGATTGTTTTCTAGATACTATCGGAGAGGCTGGTTTTACCGTTTCCATGACAGCATTATTGACGTTGTTCGACCTATGAAAAAAACGACATTAGCCACGTGCAGTCACAGTACAAAAGTGATATCGTGGCATTATGGTCAAAAACTGGTGCTGTGAAATTACGCTGTGAGGTGATATTATCCGTAGTGATAAAGTACATTAAAGAAGTACGGAGGTTGGTAACACTTCGTTTTTCATGACCACATCGTTTACGCTGACAATTTTTGGCACTTTTAAAAAAGTAAAAATAAATACTCTAAAAACTCTTTCTGAATACAACTTGTCCACCACAAACTTTCTGTTGACTGACACTTTGAATAAACATTTTCTTAGCATTTTCAGTGCGCGGAATGCTCTCTTTCAATACTACAACAGAAATCTTTGCAAACTGCGGCCTCTTAATATTCCTTTAAGTATAAAATCAAATTAAGAGCCGATGAAAACACCACTGATAAAAACAGTTATTAATTGCTTTTGAAGCTTTCGTTCACATTTTCTGAAAAAAAGTTTTGTTCAGCCCCAACAAAGATATATTTTGGCCGGTTGTTATGAGTATACCCTTTAGAAATTACGAAGTACGGTGATTTTTCGTAGTTGTCCTGCTTATTCAAGCATTTTTAATGATGTATCAAAAAGGAGAAGAAGGCTGAAGTGATTTGGAGGAACGGAGAAGTAAAATTCAATTTGCAGCTACTTGCCACTTCTTTTGCAATTTTTTGAAGAATTCATTATGTGGCAAAAAGGAAGCAGAGAAAATGAAGATGACGACAAAAGTGTTTGCTTTCTTTGCCCTTTATTTTATTCTTTTCTTCTTCTTTCTTGACTCTTATAAGTGACATATTCCAAAAAGAATGATTTATTTCCTAATGTAAATTAATGTAACTTGAAGAGATGCTTGCCTGATGACTGCATACAACTTCTACCGGCACTACTGCAGTTAACCACCTCTGATTTATCGGCAGCAAAGCCGCGCACTGTTTCCGAGTTGCTCATGGTCGAGCACCGACGGCCCTTCATATAGCAAAAGACTTTTCGGCAAATTTAATTCGTTGGGAGAAGAGTTAAATTTCCCTGGCAGACTTTCTAGAGTCTCCAAATTCAATTTGCACACGTCCTAGTGGTGGTTTAATCAAGAAGATTTTTTCTTTTTTTTTCTCTGCTTATAGTTTTTTTTGTTGTCGGGAGGGACGAAAACCTAATCAAGTGCCATTGCTCAAGAGTGTACGCCAATATCGAGCATAATATTCATTGCTTGGAAAGAAGAGATTAAAACATATAAAAAGAAGCAAAAATTGTGTGTTATTTTGAATGAACAACTCAAACTTCGTTACCGGTTTCTCAAATTGCATTATAAATATTTGCTAAATTTAACTGCTTAGAGCTTGTTTGCGCATGCCACTTTCTTCGTACATACAACACAGACATTATTCACCAATTCAAATTTCCCAAGTAGCGTTTTCAAAAACGACAAAAACATTAAAAAAAAAGTAAGTTTACATAAATAAACAAACTTGCAGACAAACAAATTTAATATATATTCATGTATTACATTATTTTATAAAAGCAACATATACAACATACAAATATATATAATATACGTATATATACATATGTATAATACATATATAATATATATAATATGTATGATATACATAATATATAATATATATAATATATATAATATATAGTATGTAATATATAATGTACGTAATAAATATAATACAAAATATATAATATATAATATATAATATATAATATATAAT